AAAGGATATTTATCCGCAGATTTAGGACCGCTTTGTCTAACATCGTTTTTATGATATTTTCGTAATATTTGCCGTATTAATTCAAGATGAAAAGTAGCTATAGAAATATCTTTTTTTGTTTTGTATTTATATAAACAATAGGAATTCYAAACGGCAATGTCTAGCAAATGGAAAAAGTATTTTTTGTACCATTTTATAGATTTTCTAACGGATTTAATAGAACTTATGACCATATCACGTTTGTCGACAGCGCCCATTGACAAATTATAATCGACTATACATTTAGGTTTATATACAATTTCTTGCGTCCTATAATTTCTTTTTCCTGTAGATATAAATTCGCTAGTATGGAAAGTAGATAACATAAGTACGTCYCTTTTATCTCGCCATTTAAGGGCCAGCAAATTACTTGATGTCCGAAAATCAACCTCGCCTTTTTCTAATTTTCTGTTCATTACAGGCATTCCTTTTCGCCTTCGYTTTACAGTTCCACAAGCATTCGTTACATTTGTATGTAATAACTTAAAAAGAGCGGGGCTGCTATAATAATTATCAACATACAGTGAATGGCCTTTTCCCAAGTACGGTTTCAAAAGTGTTAAAACGATATTTCCTGTTTTGCCAATGTTTTCCATGTTCTCTGTCACGTGTGATTCACTGCCCGTATATACGATAATATCTAGTACATAGCCAGTTTTACAATCACATAATACATACGTTYTTATGCCAAATCGGCTTCTTTTGGCCGGTATATACTGTTTAAAAGATAGCCTACCTTTGTACAGTAATAGACTTTCATCTATACATAAATTTTGAAACGGGTAAAACAAGTCTTTGAACGATTTTTGAAGTCTGCTTGAAACACTACTTATTTTTTGCAAACGATCAGAAGAATTTTGATTATCATCACTAAAATGCAACATTGTCAATAAAACTAAATATCTATCTCTACACATAATTTCGCTAAAAATATCAGATTTTAAAAGTTTATCCTTGGACCAATATTCACGAAGCCGTAACTTTTTATTTCGCGACATTAGTAAGGTACAAGCGAGAAAACAGTAGAGTTCGTCAACAGTTGTTCCAATTTTGACATTACACGTCTTATCACTTACTATACGTGCCCAATACTTATTTGTCTTATCTACAATAAAGCCTACAAGATCAGGTGAAAAGAATGATTCAAAATAATGTAATATTGTAGAGGAAAATTTTAAGTTTTCTGTCTGAAGTCCGGAATTGGAAAGATCAAAGTTATGAAATGTTAATTCAGCATTCTCCGTAGTCCATTGAATATTATGAGAAGAAGTTGGTGGCAAAGCATCTTCAATATTATCATCTTCAGATTCTGAGGTGCTAAGTACTTTTGTCCGACGAATT